TGGTCTCTGTCCACCACTTGATCTCTGCTGCACTTGATCTCTGTCCACCACTTGATGTATATGCACCACTTGATCTGTGTTCCACCTGATGTATGTGCACCACTTGATCTGTGATCCACCTGATCTCTATCCATCCACTTGATCTCCGCTCCACCTGATCTCTGTCAACCCACTTGATCTCTGTCCATCTACCTGATCTCTGTTCAGAAACCTGAGCTTTGTTCTCTGTCTATCTGATCTGCCAGTCAAACTGATCTCAATTCCCCTGATTGAAGTCCACCTACCCAACGATATGTATGTTCATCACAATACTAGTTGGTTTGCATTGTATATGTTTACCTATGCGTTGTAGACCTGACAAAGCAATGTATAAAACAACGTTTACAGTTATTGCCATACTGTTAAACAACACAGCGAATTGAACGAACAAGTATTAATGCATTTGGTATATTTTATAGAAGTGCTCATGCCTTCAGAGCTAACCTTAGCAAACAACAAATATTATTAGTAAATTTAGGTGAGAAAACCCTTTAACAGGAAGAAGGGTTTTATTTATTCAATGAAACAATCGATGAAACAATTTTATCTAAAATATGAAATCGATAATGCACTCTGGTGAAATATAACCTAACGACCATGGACGTCTGGCTACGATCTATATACATTTTGTATTTTAACAGAATGTTTAACATTTCTTATGAAATGACATGGTAATCTTCTCTGTTCAACCGTGGGTGTGTGAAGACATCAGTTGAGATAAACATAAATTTTGGTAGATCATCCATTCCCTACTGTTTAATATTTACTCTCAGTTACAGTTAAAAATAGCAGGCTATATTAACATTTTTTTCTTAATTTAAATTATTATTAAAATATTTTCTTTAATAATGTTGTATCAAAACCTACAACGTTCGATGCAGATGTGGAAGGGCGAACCCGAAAAAATGTTTTCACAGGAAACGGCTCTTAGTGAGTGAGTGGGTTGGGTTTTACGCCGCTTTTAGAAACATATTCCAGCTATATCACGGCGGGGGACACCAGAAATGGGCTTCACACATTGTGCCTATCTGGGAATCGAACCCGGGACTTCGGCGTGACGAGCGAACGCATCAACCACTTGGCTACCTCACCGCCCCGAAACGGCTGTTAGCATGCAGATGGCCGGAAACGATAATAATACCGTTATGAATATTATTTTTTCATGTGGGAAAAGTTCGTTGTGCAAGAGGGGCGGTGGGGTAGCCTGGTGGTTAAAGCGTTGGCTCGTCAAGCCGAAGACCCGGGTTCGATTCCCCACATGGGCACAATGTGTTACGCCCATTTCTGGTGTCCCCCGCCGTGATATTGCTGGAATATTGCTAAAAGCGGCGTAAAACTAAACTCAGTCAGTCAGTGGTTGTGCAAGACATTTTGTCAAAGCAGTTGGCTTGAATATCCCCGTGTATTTATAAGTCAATACCGAGAAGGTATACATACGATTATAGCACCACAGGAATGTGTTTCACACTCTCGGAGATCATAAGATCGGGTTTCATGTTCCGCTAATAGTGTCACATTGCCAAGGCATTATTCGACTGAGCGATCGTAGCGCTGACGTGATCGTAACTTGGAATGTACACGTTGACATAGACCTACATCTAAGCCAATGTAACTCTCCGTAACGGCGCCTTTAATTGCTCCCATGTGGAGAATCGAACCTGGGCGTTCGGCATGACAAGCAAACACTGGGTTCCAAACATTGCCCCTTCAGCAGTGGAAACGCTGGAGCGAGGAAATTAAAGAAAGGAAGCAGATTGGTTCAAATCCCACGCCAGGTATGGGAAGAAGAAAGTAGTTCAGTCCAAATATTCTATCTCCTCGATTGTGTGCTTGGGGCAGTTGAGGTAGCCTTGTGGTTAAAGCGTTCGCTCGTCACGGCAAAGATCCGGTTCGATTCCCCACATGGGTACAATGGGTGAAGCCCATTTTTGGTGTCCCCGCCATGATATTGCTGGAATATTGTTAAAAGCGGCCTAAAACTAAATGACTCTCGCTATTGTGTGCACCTTTAATTACATGTTAAGACAGATAGTTCAGTATCTGTTACTTGAGATCATCAGTATGTTGTGAGTAAGTTGTACATTGAAATCCTTTCAGGAATAGAACCACAAACTCCATCGTGAAAATTAACGCTTTAACAATTGACCTAATCAATCGCTTCTTATTTGTTCTGAGGCAGCTAATACAGTATACCCAGTCCTTATCTCTGAATATTAACAAACAGCATCTATGCTTCAATAATAACTGGTAAGTTGTTTCCCCTTTTTTCTTGGATCCCTGTGCCCTCAACCTGCAAAATGTAAATACAAAATATATAGGTTACAAATTAGCATAGATACAATGTCTCAATTACACGCTACGTACGAGAGACGGCAGTCCTGAACTAGCACTCTATGGCCACAGTTCGGCATGAACACTGAGACTGTGTTACTCGTATCGCTGAGGTAAGTATTATGTTTACATCCCTTTAGCATAGTATTTAAGTTGCAGAAACATTGGTACGAAATAAACTTTCAAATATATAGCGGATGCGATCGTACTGTAAACTGAATTTCGAGGGAAATATTTCTCTGAATTTACAAATGTTGTATGGTCTCTGTGAATCAGCGACAAGTGACGATTCTTTAACATGTTGTTGTACTGTTAACTCCTTAGAAAGTCAGCTTGGGTTGATGTAAGTACATTCAATTATACATAAAGAACTACCTGAATACCTGTAAAATCAGCCTTTTTGACAAACTTAACCTAACTATGCATTTAGTCCAAACATAAGTCCAAAACATGGTGTTGTTAATTTTGAAACGAACGAAGTCAAACAGTACTCTTATTCACATGAACACATCAGATACATTTCATAAAAAAGGTTCACCTAATTTTTTAAATAATCCGTATCCTACGGGCCAAAACGTGCCAACATCACATCTCATCGCTCCCATGTAGTATTCGGAAGTATTTAGGTGAGATGTTCCAACGGAATGACACTGACAGGTCCGGATGAGAGGGGGTCTTAATACCTCCCGTGTCCAGGGCCTCACACCTCATGGTCAAGTGAGAGACTGACACACTCTAGGACAACATGGCCTGTTGACTTACACAACATTCAGCCGTATTTCTCACGAACGTTACCGTTACTGTGTTTGACTACATGTTGGAGTGTTCAAGATAATCGTATTGCTGCTGAAAGTGACAGCTATTTGTCTACAGTCAAGGTAGGTTAGACGTGTCTTCTTGAATAACCGTATATTATGATATTATTACAACATTGTAATTGTAGTTCTAATTATACTAGACCAGTCTTTTATCGAAATAAATTGTGTTTCATTAACTAAAAAAATGAAACAGAGATACAAACTCAAAATTTGTCTTGAAACCGTGTTTAAATATTGAAATTTAATCGAGTTTTGATCCAGTGACTACATACCTATGTTCTTCAAAATATGCCTTTGATCTGATTTTGGAAAGGGATGCGTTCACTCTAGCAAGCGTACTAAAATGCATGTTTCCCTGTCCAATTTTCTAAATGAAAACATTCATTCGGCAGAACATTAAGTATAGATTCACCAAAACTACAAACTTTAAGCTACATAACATATATTTCACTCTGTCCTACCCTGGCCTTCGTGTAAACGAATACTAGTAGCCCATTCCCTCCAACCGCCCACCCACCCCAACTGTAACTATTGTACCGTTCTGCAACATGGCGTTTTTTTAATGACTAAACTCTTGTTTGTTTGTTTGTTTAACGCCGCCTTTAGCACTATTCCAGCAACATGACGGCGTTTTACACATGCACACATGTGGGGAATCAAACCACGACATTTCTTAAGACGAGCTTATGCTTTGTCCACTGTACTACCCCAGAGTGCAGACCCTTAAGAGAGAGTTATGATTTGGTTGGTTTGTTGTTTTACCCCGCATTCATCAATGTTCCAGTTATATGACGGTGGTATGTAAATAATCCAGTGATTGATATCATAAGCATAGATTTATCCGATTCGGATACGATGAAATGTCAGTCAGCAAGCCTGACCACCCGATCCCGTTAGTTGCCTCTTACGACAAGCATGGGTTGCTGAAGATCAATTTTAACCGTGTGTACTCATGTCCGATATTATAATAGAAAAGATGCGACAGGTGAAAATGCACAAAAGTATGTTCTTATTTGCGGTTTGATTGCATCTAAATTCGTTGATCGGTTGACAGCTTGAAAACATTTGACTGATTTGTACCGTTACAACGAAGGACTATATGCATGCACATTCACCGCTCATGGATATATATGTCACGCCGAAGACCCGGCTTCGAATCCCCACATGGGCACAATGTGTGAAGCCCATTTCTGGTGTCCCCCGCCGTGATGTTGCTGGAATATTGCTAAAAGCGGCGTAAAACCAAACTCAGTCAGTCAGTCATGGATATAACGCCGTCGATCGTGCCTGTATCATTGTAAACATGTTTTGCGCCCATTATGTAGATGGCCATCGCAATCACGTTGCACATTAACCCATGAACATCCGGGTTACAACAGATCGTCAGCAGCACGTGCTTAGGCGAATAACGGGATCGGATGTTCATCATTGCTGACTGCTGATTAGATAGACGCTAATGGCGTAAATAACTTTCTGTACCTAGGTCCTGATCCACAAAGCGTTCGTAACGTTACGACCTGTCGTAACTCTAAAGTAAGGTTATCATAGGTTTCAGGGGCGGATACAGCTTTTTGAGAAAGGGGGGTTGCATACTATTGAGAAAAGGAGGGGTGCACACTTCATTTTCACGAGAGTTTCAGTGGTCATTAAATAAACTTTCAGGACAAAAGGAGGGGGGGTGCGCACCCTCCCTCTGGATCCGCCTATGGGTTTACGAATGTCGTAGCGCTACGAAACGCCTTGTGGTTCGTGACCCTGACTATTTACAGACGATCGTCATACAGCTATTGCTGAGTGTGGCGCTCAACAAACAAACAAACAGATCTCGTTACACATTAACGTTTACATCAGCAGTGCCTGAGCTTGTCGTGACCTGTTTTACATTACACATATATGTTTAGCTCACTTGTGCAGTGACTGTCGTAAGACATTTCATTCTAAAGATTTATGCTAAGATCACTAGTGCCCATGAATAGTTTCAGAGCGCTTTCTTGGGAATCAAGTGACAACATATTTTGTGACAAGCTGATCAATGGTTAGTGCACCCCTGTAATGCTGTTCATATTATCAACCACTGGCTGTCAACTACTGAATGTTACATGTGGGGCGGTGGGGCAGCCCAATGGTTAAAGCGTTCGCTCGTCATGTCAAAGACCCGGGTTCGATTCCCCACATGGGTACAATGTGTGAAGCCCATTTCTGGGGTCCCCCGCCCTGATATTGCTGGAATATTGCTACAGGCGACGTAAAACTACTCACACACTTATGTTACATGCTCCTTTATCATAACGTACCTATTGCTGATTACATCATTGATCTGAATAGTGTTACTCTGAGACTGGCTAGTTGCAGCGCGTAAAACAAAAGCCGTGCCCTAAAAGTTGCTTTGTATATGTGTTAACGGCCACAAGAGAAATCAACACATGCAACTGTTTCACTGTAAGGAGTTTCGTCCCTTAGGCATTACAGGAACCTATGGTCGCGATTCAAATCCCTGGTTCTGTTTCTCGTCTTTTCAGCACAACATTTTACAAAGAGGTAAAGGTATAAGACCCATATCAGCCAAAGGTTTAACAATATAACCACATTCCAAAATAGTAGTCAGGACCATACCATCCCAGTTTATCCTGTCTGCTTTTGAATAAGTGAAGATCCGGGTTAGAACTGGTCTTCAGCAAACCATCCCTGTTGTAAGGGGCGACTAACGGGATCGGGTGGTCAGGCTCGCTGGCTTGGCTGACACATGTCATCGTATCTAAATTGTGTAAATGTAGATCGATGTTCATGCTGTTGATCACTGGATTGTTTGGTCCAGACTCGATTATTTACGGACCTATTCATATATACAGTCATAGCTTGAATACTGCTGATGACGACTTTAAACAACAAACAATCTGAGTGCTGTTGACATTGTTGACTAACCTGTCATCTCTATATGCAATCTACACTATCGGTAACTTCAATCTATTTTCAGTGACACAATGATCTGACTACCACTGTCATTGGTAAATCTACCCAGACCACCTCTTCATACCCCTACCAAGTCCACACCCAGGTAAGTTGTGCTATAATTCACGTCATATATAAGACCGACAAGGACAGCCAGAGATATGTACCGGCCATTGCGTTGTAAATGTCCCTCATGTTTAACTCTCGGGGAATCATATAACAGCATGTCTGAACAGAAATGTAGTCTATGAATTGACTTCAGTAAATGTCCTGACAATATTTTGTACTCTTGTAAAATTGAAGCGCGAAAAAGTAATTAGTTTTTTATCTGCAAAATCAGGACCCGCTAGGCATAAAAGGCAAAACATATCCATGGAACACTAAAAATCAGATTTGCTGGTGTAGATTATTCAAACCACAGATTTTCAAGTACTTTATCTTTAGACAGTCTTCGTTGCAACATTTGGGTACATATCCGACGTAACCAGTATTATTTACATTACCACGTACTTAAAGTTACCGGAGCTATAAAGGTGATCTGGGTTCGCTGAAGCAACATATAAAAAATCAGAACTGCTTTATTGTTCTCGGTAACATGACTTTGTATACACATACACATTGTATAGCGCCATGTCACCTTGACCTGAGGCGTTGCCTTCAAGGACGCTCGCTAATTCCCCGAGAATCACTAGCTATTCTGACACGAACTGACCCTCCATGGGTGTGACCTGCCAGTGTTATACTAATGCTGATTCACTTCTCCTAAATAACATCAACAACCCACTCTCAAATCAAATCCTTTACGTTTTCCTTCATAGATATTATCACATGTTTTAAAGGGACATTGCTGTATTCGTTGGTATAATATTTATATATTCATAACGATAGATGTGTGACAATGTGTATTGAACTACAAATCGAGGGTTTGGAGCAGCAAGGTACCAAGTGCACATTTCATCATTCCGAGAAAATCGCATTTGAAGTTTTCAATACTCATATCTGTTGCACTGCATATCTTAGCTTAACCAATACATACATGTTCAATAGAGGTGGTGTGCATATATCAAATGCTTTGATGTCATTCCTAATGAAGCCTTAATTTCTTAATTACATCAATTATTGTAGATGGTACCCTTTGAATGAAGAGAATTTGTTCAAACATTCCGGACAGCAAGGTACCAAGTGGCACTTGGTACCTTGCTGCCCCAACATTTCACCAATGTTCACGTAAGTTACAGAGCTGCAAAGGACCAAGTGGCACATGGTACCTTGCTGCCCCAAACATTTATACAGTCATTACAGGGTTGCAATGTACCAAGTGGCACTTGGTTCTTTGCTGCACGAACCATTTTACAGTAAATATAGGGTTGCAATGTACCAAGTGGCACATGGTTCTTTGCTGCACGAGCATTTCACAGTAAAGATAGTGTTGCAATGTGCCAAGTGGCACTTGGTACTTTGTTGTCCGTAGCATTTATACCACAAAGTTTGATTTAAGGAGTACCGAATGACACAAGATTCATTGTTACTTAAGCATTTGACTATATATCTATTTAATATGGACATTTGACACTTAGCAAACTGCTGCTGGTGATGTTAATGAAATATGTTTGTCTAGAAAATAATATTGTATTGTCAACTGTAACTTGTCAATCTTATATCTGTTTGGTGAAAATGTGTGATTTGTTGTTTTATCTATTACATATCATCAGTTGTTATCATACATCAATTCATTGAGATGTAAAATATTGGGCACAATATGACAAAACAGACCTTCAAGCTTTATAAAGATAAAACTATTTACCATATTAACACCATAAAAAAACCAAGAGATGATAGTTTTTATTCCGAACTAAACTATTTTTGCAGAGATTGAAATGACATGCTTTCCATTCAGTTTGACTTGATACATATTATTTGAATTTCTTATAATACAGAATATCAAAGTGATCTTATTACAAAAATCATAAAGTGACTATGTTACATAAATTTGTTAGGGATTTAATACGTTGTGTTCGGCAACCACTGAAATAATCAGTCTCTCTTGCTACATAATGGTCACTAATAGTCCTAATCGTCCCACTCCTCATCGCTGGCAGGCCCCGGAAGCCGATCAACAGATGTTGCTGATGTTGGTAGAGATTCATAGTAAAGGTGGAACTCTGTCGGGGTAATTTCTTTTCCACACAGAGTTAACAAGTCCTGCTTCTTTGCAACAGAAATTGACAGCTTGGAATTGTAAGCAGGTGTTGGAGCTTTTTGCTATAGCGCTGCTGTTTGACATTTCCTCCTAGTCCCTGAGATAACCTTGATCTCCAGGAAGTCCTCCTCCTGAAAACCACAGTTGACAAAGATTGAGCTCACAGCTTCCCGTCGGACTTGAATCCACTTGATCTTCAGCCAGTTGATCCTCTCTCCTCCAACCGAGATCTTCATGTTTGGATAGGAACTTTTTTACAAATTCCTGGAAATCAAGAACATCTCCGAATTTCAATGACATGGTAATATATATCTCTTACCTCCTCTGGCCAGAGAAATCACCGTGCTCCATTGCACAGGTGCAAATACCTGGGTTCTTTTCTTAGCCGTTTCAATAGCCGAATGGATCAAATCCCATTCCATTTGAGAATGACCTGATGTCAGAAATTTGTGATTTAATTTGTGTAAACTTTTTTTGAAGGCTATAGAGCAAGGAGCCTGCAACAAATTGGTTTCGATTTTGACCGCCACACAAGTCCGAGATATATGTCACTTCCTTAACATTTTTGTTCGATTGACATACGGAAGAGGTGATTTTGAATAGGCATGTGGCAATTTCGTTGGCCCTTCTTTTTCCATTTGCTTCATCCCACAGGTGTTCCTTGTTGATCCCCAAGAGAGTAGAGGGAAAGGTTATAGACAGACAATTTTCTTGCATAATACAGCTCCCCAACAAGACTGCATGGAGTATTTAGAACAGCTTGCCACATAGTGAGCTTTATTTAATTTTGCATCGGCTTTGTCTCGTCTTCTCCTTTTCATTTCTGGCTTCTACCTTGTCCTTCTGATGTTCCTCATACTTACTGATAATTTCGTTGTCAACGGTACCAACCAATTTCTTTGCCTCGTACAGACTGCATTTTGAACATTGATCCTTTTTTTCGGTTTAAAGAATGAAATATTATATTCTGTACAGAAGATTTCCCTATACTTGCTCTCCTTGACATAGTTTGAACCTGATTCTTGACATATTTGCTTGTAAAGCATGTACATTTTCTGCGAGAGGTATTTCTTCACAGTGTCCTTCCGCGCATAGTGTGATTCCATTTGTGGAAAGGAGGTTATGTTGTTAATTGTTTCAAGGTCAATTCTGTTCCCAGATGCAGTGACATTTCTTCTGTCTTTGGCTGTAAACACACCATGTTATTTCATTTTCAATGCATGATCCACAACCTTCCTCCAAATATTGAGTGTTGGAAGAAAAAAGTCCCCGCCACACACAGATTTTCTTCTCCTCAGAGACAAAATGATACTGTCGAGAAGTTGTTTTCTTCCCCTTTGATCTTACTGGCGACACAGAATCCACCATCTGACACACAAAGCTTCATTGCCTTTCGTAGGATGGAGGTTGGTAATAATTCTCAAAGATTGCCTGCCTTGTTTGCAAATCTATGTAGTCTGCCCTTTTGTGAGGAGCTACAACTGGGGATGGCACTAATGTAGATGCTGGACTGTGCATGTGTCCCCTTGAGTTTCCATGGTCTTCTCTGGTGTTGCAGGTGTTGCTTTCAAAGGAACTATGCCCTCGTAATGTTCCTCACCGGGCACAGCAATATAGCCAAGATTGCGGCAGCTATCTTTACTCTGTGCTATGTCTGGTTCCACATATTGACAGCTTAAAAAGTAAACTAGCGTCCAAACGAAATGCCACCAATGCTCTGCTAACTTTTAAACAACACAAACAAACACTACACCGACATTTAAGTTTTTTTGCATTGATCAACACTGACTGTTTGACACATGGGCAGGTTTACATAGGGAAAATGCTATTTTTGTACGATAAGAAGAGATAAATAACACAAATGTACCATTAATGAAGTAAATAATGTCTCTTGTCATACAATTTTATGGATATTTACACATACTAAGTAAAACGGCTCCATAATTAATAAGACTTAAATGTTTGTTTTCTTTTTAAAACATCAGTTCCCGGTGAATAACGCATACTTTTACTTTGTCCATGTGTGCCTCAAATCGTTGTCCACGTATGAATAGGTCTACAACCATGCCAAGTTTAGGTTCCCTTCCCTAAGATGGATGTATCAAGTAAACTAACTGTCAATTCTAGTATTTTATCATGAAATAGTACTTCACAGCAGTGCCATGTGTAGAACCCTCAACAGCAACATAGGACCCTTAGTGGCGCAAAGGCCCAAGTGCCACATGGCTAAAAATAGCCAGGCTTGATGCGTAAAAGAGTGCGCGCAGCAAGGAGCCAAGTGGCACATGGGACCTTGCTGCCCCAAGCACATAGCACTTGGTACCTTGCTGCCCTAAACATTTCTAAGTTATGCACTTGGTACCTTTTAACATAATTAAATATCTCTGTAATTAATTAAGAAACAGCCTTGATTTTTTTACAGAATATCAATGACATCACAGTGATCAATAATCTATAAAAGTGAAAATGTCCCAAAAGTGCACTTGGTACCTTGCTGCCCTAAACCCACGCGCTTCTGGAGCAGTTTTTCACTGGAAATAGGCGCTATACAAATGAATAATAATATTATCATTACAATGAAATCCTGTGTTGAATTCCACAACGCCCTGATCGGGACAACAACACTCATCGCTTCACTGAACCTTGCAAAATATCTATGGTAGACATGGGTTGGCATATTCAAAACTTAAACGTTAGACCAAAATAGATTTCTGATGCCACTCTGATGTCTGAGAACAGTTTCAGTTGAACACTTGACTTGCCTTTGCGTGTGTTTGCTGCTACTTTAACACATATTTCTTATGATTAATCAATATGGATAAGGTATTGTCTCTTCTATGTCTAAAACGAAGTTTCTATGTGAGGAGCCACCGGTATTGATTAAAACAGAACGGAGTCTAAACACTTGACAGCAGAAGATGGACAACATTTAAATAACAACCTAACAATTTGATATCTTTCTCCAGCTGACGACTGCCCACAGCGATACAGAGGACGCTAATCCCGCTCAGATATGTATGTATACAATTTACATCTTTTTCAATATCCAGATTTTAGTACAATATGAATAACTGTTCTGAGAAACATGTTTGTGGAGATAAATCGTACCCTAGTGCTTATGGTTAATGTTTCAGGTTAATCATGAAATGATTATAACACCTCAAAAACATATATTTACCTCAAGAGTAATAAGTACATGCAGTATATTGTGAAAGAAAGCATCATTCTGCAATGGTCTTGAAAACTGGACTTGATCACAAAACTACAAATGTCATCAAATCAACCAAACACTCCTATGATACCATCACAAATACATCATACTTGAATAAAAGGTTTTTCGTTATTTCATTTTAACCATCATCTACATACTTTCTTTTGTCCGGCAGTCTGTGTACTATTATATGGTATTTAAATATAACATACTTTATGTAAATGAAGGTTCCATATCAAATTTACGTATGACGTTCTTGTTGGTACGTTCGACTGAAAACCCTAATAAGCTCACTGATTGTGTTAGCAAGGGTGTATTTGTCCGTCACAACGCATGAAATGACCCTCATGGTGTCATCTGTTATATTAACGGATAAGGACAAACTTTAAGGATGATCAAGTTCTTTACTCGGGTGATGCGACGTTTCGATACAGATTCTTTTATCGTTGTCAAGCAAGTATGGGCTACGTGAAAACAGGGTTTATCTTTATGTATATATATGTATGTATATATATAAATATAAATATAAATATATATATATACACACACACACACACACACACAGAGTAAATAATTAACAAGAACAACAAGACAAGTTATAAACTGTGATTGCATTTGTATAGTCGAATTAAGAGGATCATAATTCATACACAATAACCATTAAGATCCAGAACAGTACAACACATCAGCGTCAGGAATATTCATGATCCATCTTGATTTCTTGTCAAATATTTAGACATGACGTTAAAGGCAAACGGCTGATAGAAATTATATTACTGGAAAACTGAAAATCATTGATGACATCAATCCGATAAAGTTAAGCAAGACATCATTGGATCGTATGAAAAGTAGGCCAATAATAACACAATATTAGCTGCCTTTATTATATTTTCCTTTCCTTTGGAGATGTGTTTAATCCTGTATTTTTGTTTTCGGATGGGTGTATGTAGTATGGAACATAACAAATCGGAAACAATAGACAGTTAGAACGGAGGTTCTGTATGTGTTTAATTTTAGTACATGCCATGCCTGTTTCATATTCCATACGTGTTGGAGCCATACGTGTTGTTTCACAACGCTACTTTTCATTCAGGTTGGAATTTATACTTGGTAACCTTGGCGGTGCCACTTTTGCACGTACTGTGCGTGATGATGACATTGTGGACCAGCTACATCATCACGTGATGACGACGTCGTTGTTGGTGCTGGGGATGACTGTAGCCGGCCAACAGTTCATGGGGAATCCTATCAATTGTTGGGTGAGTACAGAACCAGGGACACACAGATAGTGGAATAATGTTTGTTTGCATCTTAACGCAACACTCGAACATTTTCCATTTAAATGACGTTGTCCTGTTAATTATGGCTTGGTCACACAAACGAGGGGTTTATATTACGAGCAGAGTTACATATAAAATGGCAGGCTATTGGCAACGCAAACGACTATAATCATCTGATCTATTAAGTCGAGTGCTTCGACATACTCTGACATGGGGTTGCTATATTTTATTGGATCACCAGTTCCCAGAATCTTCCTGACATCATATCTCTGTTTAAGATCCCTGCCCAATACGACGTGGATGACAGCGACTACCAGGACTACGTCGACAGCTACTGCTGGATCTCCCACATGTACAACGTCCCCTTCACCGAGGAACTCCCCTTACACATAGAAGACAGACTCTCAGAGGACAAGGACGTCAACTTCTACCGCTGGGTCGTCGTCATGATGTTCTTCCAAGCACTGCTCTTCTGGCTTCCACGGTTGATCTGGAAGACGTGTTGTTCCTTCTGCGGGCTCAACATCGAGAAGATCATCAAAATGGCTCTCGAAGCTCAACTCCTCAGCGACGAAACCCGCCAAGAGAAGATGTCGAATATATCCGCGGCTGTGGACCGGTGGTTAGGAACATTTAGAAAGGCTGAGACAAAACCTTTATTGAAGGTTCTACAAACATTGAAGGAACTGGTTGTCTTTGACAAACGTTCTGGCAATTATCTGACACGACAGAACCTCTTTACGAAGCTTCTGTACTTGGTGAATGTGGTCTGTCAGTTTGAGCTTCTCAGTTCCTTCTTAGGAACCAACTACTGGAGGTACGGCACCGACGTCCTCGCCATGTTGGCAACAGAGTCCTCCTGGACAGACGAGTCCAACTTCCCGCGAGTTGGGATGTGTGATTTTGAGATTCGTCAGCTTCAAAACACCCAGAGACACACTGTCCAATGCGCCCTTCCCATTAATCTGTTCCTGGAGAAAATCTACGCCCTGCTATGGTTCGTCATGGCTGGTTTATCTATTCTGACTGCGGTGAGTCTTGTATCTACGACAGTGTTCACCTGCAGACGGGAACATGTGATGAACCAGTATGCAGTTTTATTGGATAAAACATTGAAAGACAAAGAGGACCGTGGAAATTATAAAACATTTGTCGAGACATATCTCCGTGATGATGGCGCCTTCGTGGTAAGAACTGTGGGTAATAACACAAGTGATATATTAGCGTTTGACCTATTGACTCAACTCTGGTCAAAGTTCAAGGACACGTACCCAGAAATCGAAGAGTGTCCGACAACATCTGAAGGCAACCTATAAACGAAAATATACGTATGAAACAGGAGGAACAAACTATCCACAAATATGGTCATATGAATGGCAGCAAACTAACAGATACACGTATACAGAATTGACAGAATGTCAATCTAAATTAGACAATGAATGTTGTTTTATGGGTTAGTCAGTGAATGAGTGAGTGCATTGATAGCCGCAGCGGTGGATTTCAGCAATATCACCTTGTTCTATTACGGCTAGTCAGCTTTGGTGTTGAAGGAAAACCTGAAGTGATGAAGGTTTAAAACCTGAAGTGGGATGGTACAGCTCTTTCATATTGTCTTGTTATTTAGTCAGTGTGGTGTTGAAGGAAAACCTGAAGTGATGTCTCTTTCAGGTTTAGTCAGTGAATCAATGAGCGGAAGCAATGGCTACAGCGGTGGCTTGGAGCAATATTGTCTTGTTATATCACGACTAGTCAGTGTGGTGTTGAAGGAAAACCTGAAGTGATGTCTCTTTCAGGTTTAGTCAGTGAATCAATGAGCGGAAGCAATGGCTACAGCGGTGGCTTGGAGCAATATTGTCTTGTTATATCACGACTAGTCAGTGTGGTGTTGAAGGAAAACCTGAAGTGTTGTGGTAAATGCGCGTTTGCTCCTTACGCCGAAGATCCATTTTCGATTCCCCATTTGGGTACAATATATGGAACCGATTTATGGTTTCCCCAATTGTGATATTGATGAAATCGCTTTAAAGCACAACTCACTCGCTGTCTCCATTTCATAATGAAATATTTTCTTTCCTTCAATATGCCACTGTGATCTGGGACGTGTTTTTCTGCTTACTACCAATTCAACGCTGTAACCACCAGGCGACCCACCGTTGCACTTAACAATATTTCGCTCACATGACGACGTGCATGCGTGTGTACGTGTTGCTGCTTGTACTAGCCGAGGCTTAAGCTGGTTTTATAGTGCTAGATACCATGCCACAGTTAAGCATGAATACCCCACTCAGACACATTATATTGACTCCGAGCCGATCGTACCTTGTTGTATCCATTCATGCCAAGCGCCAGGCAGGGACCAGCAAGTACCATGTTTTAACGTATTTTGGTATGACGCGACCGGGGATCAAACCCGTGACCTTCAAACCACTACACTACGGAGGCGGTTTCAGATAAGACATGAAAAAAAGCAACAATTCATATTGTAACCAAAACAAATTTTCAAGCTAATTCATGTGTTTTGCTCAGAAATGCCAATGATTGAGCAAGAGATATATTCCCCTTTGCTGAAATAACTACATTTCAGATATATTCGTATATGTTTATTTATTCATATTAAAAAGTCAATTTCTGTGTAGATGAAAACATTGGTATACCGAAACCATGTTTTGTGGACCTGTGTCGAACTTTCAGGTGAAAAGAATACTGTAATATTTGAAGCAGCTTTAGAAAAGGCTATTCATCTAAATACTTTGTTTTTTGTACAATCTAAAATAACTTCTTAAACGTCGAAAATATTCAAATTTTGTGCTTAAATTGACACAATATGATGAATATGTATTTTTTTAAAGGATAAAATTTAGTGTAAACAGAGGATGTGTTCGCTGTATTTATACCATGAATTCGCTGCAAATTAAAAATATTGGAAGCACTAGCTTGCAAAAAAGGTGTTAGGCAAGGAAACCTTTTTCACGTTCTTTATTCAGTCTCTATATTAATAAACTAGAGTTTCCTGCATTAAATAAGGTCTACAAGTACATATCTTGATATTGTTACTCTGAAGGTAAGTTTACCCTTTCCCGCTCTTTATTTAGTCTCTGTATAAATAAATTAGATTTTCCTGCACTGAATGAGATCTAAAAGTACAACCCTGGTATCGATACGCTGAAATGCTCTCCTATAGACAAACACTGGTATTATCACTATTGGGTAGTGCTTTAGTATTCACCCTATCATTGTACATTTCGTATGAATGAGGACATGTTTTTGTCTTATTTACATCGATAAAACTTTGGGTGAATCGTATGTTTCTATTTGTTATTGTTAGCAGATACGTGTATCTCACAGACAATCAGCATTCACCACAACATGAGAGTCTGATGAACACTGTAATTCATTGAAGATTTAAATAAATGTAGTTAAAGAATAAAGTTACTTTAGCCATTTGGTTGAATGTATTTATATAGACTTTCATAGTCTTTACAAATACATTAAAACGCTCAGTGAATTCAGACTGTCAGGAAACGACAATGGTGCAAAGGGCAACCTAATCAGTTGATTATGTTTTAAGGAGAGGACGTAGTGAAAACTTACCAGCAGTTTGAATGCTCAGAAGCATACATGTGCATGGTTTAAGACAGCTTTTGACAGTTAGGGAAGTACACTACCCTATGATATTATTATATCAGACGGTAAATACAAGAACAAACAGTGTCAGGTTTTGCACCGGGTCACACATCCGGCTTGGGTAAACCGATCACTAATGTAGACTTGGGTGTGGCTCGTAATCACATATAATTATTTTGAAGTGGAATTTGTCCGTGGGTATTATTTCTTAAATCAAATCTTTGTGTTAACGTATTTGTTTAGAGGGTGGTGGGGCGGCCTATTGGTTTAAGCATTCGCTCGTCACGCCGAAGACCCGGGTTCGATTCCCCTCATGGGTACAACTTCTAATAAACAGTCCTGCGTTATGGAAATGTGTTATGCAGTATAACATGTGTGTACATGTATCATTACGGGAGTTGGGATAGGCCAGTTGTTACAGCGTTCGTTCGCCACACCGAAGACGCAGGTTCGATTCCCCACATTGGAACAATGTGTGAAGCCCATTTCTGGTGAAATATTGCAACCTAAAGCGACATAAAACTACGCTGCCTCAATATTCACACGCATGATACCGTTCTTTCACCTGTGAGTGAGTAAGTATGGTTTTACGCCGCTTTTAGCAATATTCCTGCAATATCACGGCAGGGGACACCAGAAATGGGCTTCACACACGTAACCACGTAAGAAATCGAACCCGGGTTTTCGGCGTGACGGGCGAACGCTTTAACCTGTAGGCTACCTCACCGCCCCCTCTTTCTCATGTAGCTGTGCTGACAAAAGTTAGAAATCATGATTTTCCTGTACAGTATATGATTAAGATAGGGATTGAGTTTGTATTATAGGAGACTAACAACAGTCTACATTTCTGTATAATATTTCCGTTGTGAAGTAAAGTTATCATTTTCCCGCGCCGTATGTTTGTGGATTTGCCAGCCTACAGGTGTGGAAATTGAAGGATAACCTGCTTCTAGGTAAATAATATACTTTCTCTTATTGTATACTTGTATGACTGATAGACAATGACGTGTAAGCGTTACAAACTCAAATTGAATATTTCCTCATAAAACAAATCAAATATGTTACTATTTATTAAATGTAATCTAACCATAATCTACACCCATCCCTTCCACAAGGGCCTTGAACAGTTCATGATATACTGACTGCTCTTTTATACCAAAGTCATGTTTTATGAGGTTTTTAAATTAAATTATGAGTGTCTAAATCTTTTAATATTGTATTAATTTGTATATTATTTTTTAAAAGAACGGAATTAATTAAAGCAAAGTTGGATGCATAGCGGTTGGGAAAAGGAGGGGTGCATTTTATTATATTAATAAATCGCGGTTGGTATTCGCACTATAATTTTCTTGAAAACAGTAACCAAATGAGCTAATCTTAGTTGTACACATGCTCACCCGGTGTATTAATTTCATTAACACCAATTCATTATTATTTGTTAATTAGAAATTGATATATTTACATAACGCATTGACTAAAATGTGTAAAAATAACTGATGGCGACCCTTTCCCCAAGGTCAAGGTAAGCAACATTTGGCCTTTAGTCATCATGCCATCCAGATAAGTTTGAAAACAACTGAAAATGGAGGTAAAACGTATGTATAAATATTTTTTTACTTCAACGCATAGATAAACATACAAACATACTATGTTGTATATGCATACACGCTGTACGAGGAAATACCCTGACTTGTCAATACAGGGAACAAACGTGATGGGGAAAAAGTGTGCATGACCTGATATGAAATGTGATAACACAATTCTACCATGACGCCTGAGGAAGCTTAATTCTGATTGGTCGAAACTAAATATAGGTCACGACCGCTTGTCAAATATGATTTGAAGGTGTGTGTGTTGGGTTAAACGACACTTGCGGCGTGTCAGAATAATGTTGGGAAAACCTTGTATGAGGCAGGTCTCAGTCGATTATCCCCTTGGCTAAACTAACGATTACATGTTTTGTGCTAGAAAACCTTTAGAACTGAATTCAAACCACGAGTTATTAATGTTTCGATACAACAAATAGCGGCACACGTGAGCCCCAAACATGATGAAATCTATGTAAAATACACACAAGCAAAACATACACGAACCAAACTGAGAAGTCTCTTGTATTCAGCAGATCCGGCGCCATTTACAAACGTCACCGGAATTTGTGTGTAGAGTTGCGTCCCTTAGGATTGACAGAATCCGTTATCGTGGGTTGGAATATTCCATATTTACCTGAATATATGGCTTGGTCTGTCTGAACCATATCCTGGAGCACGGGTTTCATCACTGTGATCAACATCGGAGACCTGCTTCATCTCAGGATCTGCCTCCCTCCCAAACCATGTCACCATGTACACGCGATTAACGTTACTGTACTATTCAAAGCGGCGTTAAGTAAAACGCAACCATTCGTTCACTTCAGAGCAGGGAAAGTGTAAATGCCCATGCACTCGTGAAGATCCGGGTTAGACTTTACTAGTGAAGCATCATGATCGATAGATACATATATCTAGGTAGGATACGCTGAACAAACCGATCGTACGAAATCCGTGAAGATCCGGGTTAGACTTGATCTTCAGTAACCCATGCTTGTCGTAAGAGGCGACTAACGGGATCGAGTGGTCAAGCTCGCTGACTTGGTTGACACATGTCATCGTATCCCAACTGTGTCGATCGATGCTCATGTTGTTGATCACTGGATTGTCTGGTCCAGACCTGACCAGTTACAGACCTCGACCATATAGATGGGAATTACACACCTGACTAAGGATAGCATTGTGGTTAAAGTGTTCGCTCGTCACGGGTTCGATTCTCTGCGCAGGTACAATGGGTGAAGCCAATATCTGGTGTCTCCCGCCGTGATATTGCTGGAATATTGATAAAAGCGGCGTAAAACTCACTCACTGACTCAGCCGGTCCGGATTCGCCCTTACATAAAGACCTCGAGATTTATAACAAGGGGATCACAAACTAAATATTACTAACCTTCCCTGAAGTACATTGAATCTCCACACACATAATGATGAGCTGTTACCCAGCTGGTAAGTTGTAAATCTAACTAAACTTTTACTTCCATAAAAAATAAGTTATCACACCTCCCCTGGCTGTTCTAAACTATTCCTCTCCGCTTGACAACTATTGGTTATTTGTCTAACGAATAGTTGGAAAGGCTTTTCAACACCTGCTTGGGAAACGGTTTAAATCGGAAGTGTATGATAAAGAAAGTTGATAAGTAATACTATGTCAGGTCTCGATCTAGTCTACTTCTGTGTAGGGTCAAGATAGATCGAGGAGTTGTTATTTCAAGGAGTCGCAATTGTATTGTCGTTTTCTTAACGGCATACGCCAATTTTAATACATTAAACATTCCTCAGCTGTGCTTGCGATCTTAAACCGTTAATGAGGGGCGATGAGTAGCCTAGTGGTTAAAGCGTTCGCTCGTCACGCATAAGATCCAGTGTTCGATCGGAATATTGCTATTGCTATCAGTCGGTGGTTCGACTGATAGGTCAAGAGGCGTAATAGTGAGTGGGTGTGTGAGTGAGTTTAGTTTTACGCCGCAGTCAGCATATTACAGCTATATGGTGGTTGTCTGTAAATTATCGAGTCTGGTGTCCCCCATCGTGATGTTGATGGAATATTGTTCAAAGTAAAACTCACTCACTCACATTTTGATGAGAGAAGCCAGCGGATGCGGATAGAAACATGTCACCATCTCTTTGCTATCCATTCATACTCATGCCTTCGTCTAAGCACAATAGACTTTAGGACCGTTCATAATTTATGGCCTTCCCTCAGTTTCACAATGGGTGGACCGCATTGAATGTATGTCACTCTGACCTACATGCTTCGCAATATTCAAACAACTGTTATCTTGATAGTAAGCCCTCCTCCCTTGACGACAGCCATATCACTAACCGAGGAAGCAATTCAAAGCAACGGTTATCTCCAGTATCTTGACATATAATTCATGACAATGTATTTTTATGGTCTGGGTTTGTCTCGAAATTCTAGATATAGTCGACGTTACTTATGTGCTCACGTGCTATCTTCACTCTTATTCCCATTACAATCATACTAGCATTTCATTGCATTACAATACTTTTAATTTGCTTACCACGTGGACATACGTTTCTTCTTCTTTGAGGGGCGGTGGGGTATCCTAGTGGATAAAGCGTTCGCTCGTCACACCGAAGACCCGGGTTCGATTCCCCACATGGGTACAATGTGTGAAGCCAATTTCTGGTGTACCCCCGCCGTATATTGCTGGAATGTTGCTAAAAGCGACTTAAAACCAAACTCACTCACTCTTCTTCTTTGAGTGGCATTTTAGAAGTTGGGAGGTACAATACAAGCTGTATTTCTATATCGAAACGTCGCACTCACAAAATAAAGTAGCTGTTACCCATAGAGTATGTCTGCCTAGTACTTTTCTTGTTTGTTAATATACACGCTCACTAGAAAGTAGATCAGACTTTCTGTGTGTACAAGTTGATGATGTCATACCACTAACATTATTACAGATGACTTCATCGCTGATGTGGACGTTGATATGACTTGACAGCATGGTGTAAGTATATGTAACCATTAATACATTTTCGTCAAGGGGAACTGTACTAAGGTATTTCTTTAAGAGACGACACTTCGTTGTTGATCTGAGTGCCGTTGTTAAAAAACACACACCTTAGCGTTCTGATTGTCCTAAGTCTATGTTAAGGTATGGGAGATCACCCGAGCTTAAGATCGCTTGGCTGATCGAGACTGTGCGTGTCAACTATGCGTCGCATGTAGCGCAAATTGTCATTGCGTACCAAACGAACGAGTGTGGTATCATGTTTCGTTTGTTTTGTAAGTCAAGACGGCACACAGTTTCCTATTTGACATATTTCATGGTCCGAAACTGTTTTGGTTCATAAATATCGGTTAGAAATAAAGCAACCGATAAAGATCCGGGTTAGAATTGGTCTTCAAGTGGTGGTCATGTCAATTTCCATATTTACGTGTGCCTGATTTCGCCTTGTGCTGGTTTTTGGTTTGACAGCCTCGTTCTCATGTTTCCTGCTTCATCCAGATGACACGCCGAGATGTAACTGAAATAGTGAGTGAATTTTGTTTGACGCCGCCTTTAGCAATATTCCAGCTATGGCACGTCGGGGGACACCAGAAATGGCCTTCACACACTGTACTCATGTAGGGGATCGAACCCGGGTCTTCGGCATGACGAACGAACGCTTTAACCATTAGGCTACCCCACTGCCCCGTAACTGAAATAGTTTTCATTGTCCCTCGGGAGCCCAATGAGGTATGAGAGTGTCCCTATCAAATGTTAAATGCATGTGACTCTCAGCCACAAATGTTGCGGATGGAGGTAAAAAGGGTTGAGTGTCCTGTTGAAAAATATTTAATATGATTAATTTATTCCAGACAAAAAATGATAGTCAGCCCACTGGCACCGCCGTAAATAGCTGCAAAATTGCCAATGTAGCGTAAGCAGTTCTCACTCACCCACTACTGTTGGGTTCAGATGGTCAGGTATCCCAATTGCGTAGATCGATGCTCATGCTGTTGATCACTGGATTGCCTGGTCCAGACTCCATTATTTACAGACCGCCATTATATGGCTGGAATATTGCTGAGTGCAAACCAACCAACCATTGTTTTATCCTCTCGATACTGAACACCAGGAAGGATTATAACAAGTAAGTAATGTTTTTATGTATGGGCGAAACCAGGGATCGAACCGGGTATCGAACCACTGAATTACCGCTCTCTGATCTGACACTCTACCTACTAGACCACATATGCAGTCACCAAGGATACGAACATGTTTAAATGTTTCCTAACCGAACACAGACGCATTGTTCATTATTGGAATACTGTACCCAATAAGTGGTTACATTTCTACGTTAACGATCAAATAAGTTTAAAGATGCGAATGTGCTTCTAAATATATGTTATCTGTTTTAGGTTTGACAACATCATATTAAGCATTTTTGCGCAACTTCGGCTCGCTAATGTCATCATCAGGGACGATGATGTCGTAGACCAACTCCACCATAATGTCATGGCCGTCATCCTGACCACGCTGGGTATCGGGGTCGGGACAAAACAGTTAGTAGGCCATCCTATAAACTGCTGGGTGAGTTGGCAAATACACTGACAGTAAGACCCATAAACACTCTTCAAAAAAAGAAACGCATAGACCAAAAATAAATAAATGTATTAAACGTATTTAAGTGTACATAAGTCGATTAAGCTTGAGCATAGATGAAGGAAATTCGACACATGGATGAATATATGTATTGTTGTCATTGTCAACATTAATTCAGTTCACTCACGTCAAATGGCACCAATTAGTTGGACAGACCAGTCTATGGATGATGTGTTGTTCCTGCGTGATATCAGCTCGGTAGACATAGCGAATCTCACAGAGTGTCTTTTGATATCAAATATATCACCACGAGTTGATAAAGTTACAAATATCCGAGGCTTGCCGAGGATATTTTCACTTTTATCAACGCGTGTTGATATATTTGATATCAGAAGACACGAGGGTGAGATTCTATTTATTATAAAAAATCACTCTTCTTTAGCTTTCAATGAAAAATGTACATCTCTGAACACAGTACTGCTATTAGACTTGCAGTGCAGCGATGTCATAGCATTGTGACGTCATCAAGTTCATGACGTCATAGCATTGTTTGGGCATTGTACAAAATCTGCTGTCAAAATGATATCTCCTAGTGCGAAGAATTTTCACGTCATATTCAGTTTTCCCTTTCGTGTTACCATTCTTCATACTTTCAACATACTGCTTCGTTTCGATTTCCATATTTCCTTTCTCCTCCCTCTCCACTAAATCTTCCAGTGGAAGCAATTGTCGTGATAAAGACGCTAGCGTCCTTTCCCCGGCCATGATCAAAGGATGATCCAACATTACGTCATCTCTATGACGTCATTCTTGATGTGACGTCATTCGATTCATTAACGTTCCGTGACGTCGTGTACAAAATTGACGGGGAAGATATCGATATCTTCCCTCCTCTCAGTGGGCAAGATATCGATATCTTATATGAGTGCCCATGTCATTCTATGTTTACGACATGAGTGCCTAAATGTTGGTATTTCCCGAGCGAGAGCGAGAGATATACCGATATTTAGGCACGAGTGTCGTAAACATAGTATGATATGGGCACGAATATAATATTCTGTTTATTACCATACTCAATCTCGTCGTGAAATTGAGGAAAATAACCCAAATCTAATTTCAAACATAGGCTGTAACTACCCGCCGTCGCCGCATGTGGAAGAACACAACGTGTCAAGAAGAAACCTGACGTCATAACATTGTTCATGACGTCACGTTTCAGGCTGTACGATGATGACAAGTGATATTTTGCCCTACCAAGGCAGTGGCATCATGTATGAAAAATATGAACCCGATATGATCGCCCTCGTGGGTAATAAATAAAATAACACTCGGTCTCATTATACGAATTATACGAAACTCGTGACCTTCCTATATCTTGCCCGGGGCCAGATATGACCATGCCGATCCTGCCCATATCGGGGTGGCAAAAAAGTCCATATCAGGGAAAATATCACTGTATTAAGTGATAACGTTTGATCTCACACAAGCAATATCTCCTGTAGAACACAATTTTGGATGATAAACACAAATCTTAGGATACAGTGTGGTGGATATATATCAGTGTTTGATAGACATATCGACCCCGTGGCTAGATATCAGTTAGGTAGACAGAGAGGTAAATACAGTGATACATATGATACAGGCATGATATCAGTTAGATGGACATATCGATAGATATACGGGTGAGATGAAATGGGCCTTAACGTCGTACTTGAGAATATTTCGCTCATATGACGATGTGCAATGGTGTGTATGTGTGGCTGCTTGTACTAGCCCAGACTGAAGCTGGTTTTATCGTGCTAGCTCACTGAGATACCATGCCGCGGTTAAGCATGAATACCCCACTCAGACACATTATATTGACTCCGAGCCGACCAGTCCTTGTTGTATCCATTCATGCCGGGCGTCAGGCAGGGACCAACAAGTACCATACTTTAACCATTACGGACGCTCTAACCATTACACCACGAAGGCAGTTGTGTGTGTATGATATATCAGCGTAAAACTAAACTCACTCACTAATTCTTGTACTGCAGCTTCCTGCGCAGTATAAAGAAGATGACCAAGCGGGACTACGTCAACAGTCTCTGCTGGATCTTCCCCCTCTACAACGTCCCCTTCAACAACGAACTCCCCGTGGCAGACAAAGACCGCTTCTCCGACGACAAAGACGTCGGCTACTACAGATGGGCCATGCTGATATTCATCCTTCAGGCTTTGATGTTTGAGCTGCCACACTTCATCTGGAGAAGTTTAAACGGTCATTCCGGATTGAACATCAAGAGGATAATAAGAATGTGCATGGAGACCCAGTTAAACTCCAAAGATACTCGTGACAAGAAACTTGACCAGATTGCAAAGTTCATCGACAGATGGCTGAGGACCTACAGGAAGTTTACCTCACCCACTCTCAAGTTTTGTCAGTTTGGGAACCGGTCGGGACGTTATTTGGTTCTGCTGTATATGTTCACCAAATTCCTTTACCTCGTTAATGTTGTAGCACAATTCCAGATCCTTACCATATTCTTAGGCTTCAACTATTGGAAATACGGCGCTGAGGTCGTAGGATATCTGACTGAAGATCCACACTGGAATGATCTTCAGCGCTTCCCTCGGGTTGGAATGTGCGACTTTGACATCAGGCAGCTTCAAAACATCCACCGATACACTGTCCAGTGTGTTCTCTCGATCAATCTGTTCCTTGAAAAGATCTTCGCTGGTCAGTGGTTCGTCTTAGCGCTTCTGTCCGTAGTTACTCTTGTCAGTTTCTTGTCCTGGTTCATTGAGGAGGTGTTCACGTCTCGGCGAGAACGTTTCTTGCATAAATACATGTACTTTATCGACGAAGAAAACAAGAAACAGGGTGGTTCTCTGAATACCAATATGTTCAAGAAATTCGTAAGGGGATACCTCCGCCATGATGGCGTGTTCGTGATTAGAACTGTTGCCAATAACACCAACGATGTACTGGCATATGACCTACTGAATCGGCTGTGGAGTATGTTTGAAAATCAGCACAATGTACGCACTGACGAATATACAATTGAAGGTGAACCATTTCTTGATGGTTGCGAAACCAAAGATGATATTGTTCCGACGTCGATTCAAAATGGAGCTAGTCGGCAAAACGTACCCAAGAAAAGAAGGTCTGAACGAACCGCTATGAGGAGCTCAAGTCGAGAATCATAGACCAAAGTCACAGCGACTTAAACCACAGGCAAACATGGAATAACAAGTAATGCTCAGTATGTCAAATATCTGGTCCACCTTAGAAATAAATAGATGAACAATCCTTTTAGCGATTTTCCTAACAATAATTGCACTCAAGCACATCGAAGTTGTGAAGTTCTGTTACATGTTAGGAATACGTATATGAACAGCAATTTGGAAAACAATAATTGCACATACAATATTGCCTCTATGTGATTATGATCTATCTTGAAAATTGTAATACTGTTATTTTTTATATACCTTTATGTCAGTTTCTTAAATAAAACAGACCGACTGACAGTCTTGATAGGTATTGGTTCTGTTGTTTTGTGGATGTAATGGAGACGTAGTTGATATTGTTAACGGCGTTGAAACTGCACAATGTATTATGTTTTTTCATGGTTATTGACGCCGTTGCAGAGTTGTTTCCCTTTGCCACAGAGACCGATGATCGTGAGTTCGAATCTCAGTTCACCAGTATTATGTTTATAGGTTCGTCAGCGCTAGAACTGCCCTCGTGGGTTTCACTGAAGTGGTAAACGCCGACACCTGCTTCTTTTCTGGACTTCCCCATTGCAAGTGTAACACGTCATGATATAACTGGAATAATCGTATCCTTATTGCGATGATCGATGCTCGAGATGTTGATCACTGGATTGTGTGGTCCAGACTGGATTATTTACAGACCGCCGCCATATAGCTGGATTATTGCTGAGTGTGGCGTTAAAGAACGAATAAAAGATAAAACATAGATGGAATACTGTTGAAAGGCGTTAAATCAAACACTAACTCACTCACTTGAAAATGCTGACAACATTATTGTTTTAATATAGTGTTGGTAGATGCGACAACCCACTCTGTCCATAAGGATCATGTATGTGTGGCTGCTTGTACTTGGTGTTATAGTTATAGCCCGATGTGACACCATGCCCTAGGTTAGGATGGATACCCCAACACAGTTTTGTATGAGATCCTAGACGGGCATTGTCGCGTTGCCGAATTGTAGCGCTTAACAATTTTGAAACTTACGCTTGTTTCTGTCGGGGCGACAAAGCCAGAATGCGACATCGCGACAATACTATGTTACTTCTAGGATTCCATAGTACACTTACTCAGAGCCGAGAGATCGTTTCTGTCTTTGACGCCTATTGGACCCGTGAAGATCCGGGTTAGAATTGATCGTCAGTAACCCATGCATGTCGTAAGAGGCGACTAACGGGATCGGGTCGTCAGGCTCGCTGGCTTGGTTAACACATGTTATCGGTTCCCAATTGCGCAGATCGATGCTCATGCTGTTGACCACTGGATTATCTGGTCCAGACTGGATTATTTACAGACAGCCACCATATAGCTGGAATATTGCTGAGTGTGGCGTTAAAGAACGAATAAAAGATAAAACATAGTTGGAATACTGTTGAAAGGCGTTAACTCAAACACTAACTCACTCATTTGAAAATGCTGACAACATTATTGTTTTAATATATATGAGTGTTGGTAGATGCGACAACCCACACTGTCCATAAGGATCATGTATGTGTGGCTGCTTGTACTTGGTGTTATAGTGATAGCCCGATGTGACACCATGCCCTAGGTTAGGATGGATACCCCAACACAGTTTTGTATGAGATCCTAGACGGGCATTGTCGCGTTGCCGAATTGTAGCGCTTAACAATTTTGAAACTTTCGCTTGTTTCTGTCGGGGCGACAAAGCCAGAATGCGACATCGCGACAATACTATACTGTATGTGTTACTTCTAGGATTCCATAGTACACTGACTCAGAGCCGAGAGATCGTTTCTGTCTTTGACGCCTATTGGACTCGTGAAGATCCGGTTTAGAATTGATCGTCAGTAACCCATGCTTGTCGTAAGAAGCGACTTACGGGATCGGGTGGTCAGGCTCGCTGGCTTGTTTGACACATGTCATCGGTTCCCAATTGCGCAGATCGATGCTCATGCTGTTGGTCACTGGATTATCTGGTCCAGACTGGATTATTTACAAAAAGCCACCATATAGCTGGAATATTGCTGAGTGCGGCGTAAAACTAAACTCACTCACTCACCAATTCACTATTACGCCTATTGACTTATCAGTCGAACCATCGACCTTCACCTCCCGGAGAAGACGCTGTAACCACTGATAGTGAGTGAGTTTTACGCCGCTTTTAGCAATATTCCAGCAATATCACAAGAGGGGACACCTGAAATGCGCTTCACACATTGTACACATGTGGGGAGAATCGACGTGACGAGCGAACCCTTTAACCACTAGACTACCCAACCGCCCCATTACCAGTACACCATGTAGGCGGTCAGGTGCAAATGGAATCTGTGTGGGTGTATCGCATCATATATAATCAGTAATAGGCATATCACAGCAGCTGATATGGATAAGACAATAGCATGACAAAACAAGACAAAACAATGATAACGCCAGAAAACATCCACGTCATCAGTTGATGATGTTGATCGGTCGACACACAATCCGTAAGGTTACAGATGAAAGCTATCAGGGCCCCGTTCCACAAAGCGATCGTATTGTTACGACAGTCGTAACTCTATGTTAAAGTATGGGAGTTACGATCACCTTAGCGCTACGTTAGCTTGTGGAACGGGGGACCGTAAACGCCCTTCCAAGTAACAACCACAGCCATTGAGACCATCCAATTCAATCTACTCCCCGGAACTAAAGGCTTACTTGACATTTGTCTGTGCTTACATACATTCTGATGATCCCCAGAGCGATCTTGGGTGTGCCGTCATGGTCCCCGCTTGTCTGATAACAGCCTTTACAAGTTGATCTATGCTGTTTACGTTGTGTTCAATATTTAGTTGACATGGGGCTTTAGTTTATATTAAGTCTCCAAATTAGATTCTCTACATAGTTACAATGAAGCCATTTTCAGATGATCCCTTTGTGACATTGCTGAGTAACACCTCAAAGCGGCGAAAAACCACACGCAATTTATCTGAGTGTCTTTATACGGCAGGCTTAAACTTTTAGCGTATTAAAGACACATTAAAATTGCAGATTATATTGATGCGGTGTCTTATAATAAATTTGAAAGTATTGAAATATGATGATGAATATGTTGATGAAATCACACGTTGATGACGTCATCGTCCACACAATCTTCCATTAGAAAATATTAAATGTGACAATTTAACAAACAATTTTTAATGCAGAGTATTTCATTCACATTGTAATATGTCACAAGCAAGCAACTGATGATCTACAATGAGACTATTCACATCGCCTCATAGCAGACACAAATACTTATAATACCCCTCTTACTAATCACATGGGTACCATATATGAAGCCAACTTCTAGTATTCCCCGCCGTGATATTGCTGGAATATTGCTAAAAGCGGCGTAAAATCATACTCATTCACTCACTTTTACTTCATGTTAAACCAGTTATACAGATTCCACAGTTTTTTCATCAATAGTGAAAAGTCCGAACTAAGATGCATACTTTTAGACCATCTTACGGATAGGCATGAATTCAAGGTTGAGGAAACTGGGATTGAAAGCTTCTAGCGTACATTGTACGTTATCGTAAGATCACCCTCACTTAATCAAATATTAACGTGCTAATATATCAAACGCTTATGATAAAAGTTAAATTGCCCAATTTACGTACGATGTAAACTTCAGGACAAAAGAAATCATACACCTGAAAATATGGCGCCCATATTCCTTAAAAAGGTCGTGTGCTCTTTGCCTGTTGTGAGTTTGTTTGTTGTTTAACGCCACACTCAGCAATATTCCAAATATATGACTGCGGTCTGCAAATAATAAATGAGTCTGAGCCAGACAATCCAGTGATCAACATCATGGGCATCTACTCCCGCAAATGGGATATGTGACATGTGTCAACCAGGTCAGCAAGCCTGATAACCCGATCCTGAGGGTAGGCTCTTTCGACAAACTTGGATTGCTGAAAACCAATTCTTACCCGGATCTTCACGGGTCCCTGATGTGAGACACTCATTGATGTGATGATGGAATGATTTCTGTAAAACACACAAGAAATGGTTCGTTGATGGTCATGTGTATAATACGTATATTATCGTTATTGTTTGGACCCTAAATTTACAGTGCTTGGGCGACTGTTTCTCACCCTTGAAACGTTTTTATAACGTTAGAAATATTTTGATCAAATCCAGTTTATACACGTTCATACCATTTTTTGCTCTTTTACCATGAATTCAGCTAGGCTATTGCTGAGAGCGGCGTTATCCAATAAACATACCTTGCACATAGCGTTGAGTAGAGCTTGAATCGTTATAATTTGGCTAGGCTAAAGACCAATTCACGGTCTCTAAACCATTTCCATTCCACCAAGCCCTTTATGTAACACAAAAACTCCAAAGGCAGCAAGTCCAGATTTTTATGTTCGAAATTTCCCTTTTTACACTTGGCCCATGTTCAATTTTAATGGTCTTTATTTCTGTCAATAATACATGTTCAACTAAAATCAAGTTTAAGAACCCTCAGTCGTTTTCGTATGACAATAGTGCATGCCATGGGCCGTGGTTGTTGCAACACCCAACCTTACGATGTTTGAGTTTTGAGTTGAACATTGTAAGAAACTAAGCGTCAGTCCACCCTTTCAGTATAAACATATTTGCAGACCGCCGCCATATAGCTGGACTATTGCTGAGTGCAGCGTAAAACTTAACTCACTCGCTCAGTATTAACAGCGATCCGGATTAGTCAGGGTCCGTTTAAACAGATACACTGTATCCGTACTATGAGTAAATATTAAAGAAAGTGACTTCTCGCAACAACACTTGTGTCCCACCGTTTGTGAAACAGTCAGAGGTGTTTGAACCACCACCACGGGAGGTTGACCACCACCCCCACCCACCCCACCCCCGCAGTTTGAAAGTTGAAAGTTAAACTTGATTTGAGCCAGTTGACAGGCAACTATCACGTGGTTTGGAATTTATGAAACGCGTTAGCGTGGTATGTCATCAAATCGGCATCTTATCAGTGGGTGGGGTATTTTTATCAAACAAACGGTCACCCGGGGTAAAATGTTCGCTTGGAACGGAGGTTTCCTAGAATTCCCACAATGAGGGGTTATCAGGGTTAAATGTTTGGTTTGTGAGTCACATACGTGAAGACACGCTGCTCTCTGCACGTCAAACGCATCTTAGGAGAACAACAGAGTTGAATCTGTCAAGATTACTGTGAGTGAGTGAGTGCGTGAGTGAGTGAGTGAGTGAGTGAGGGAGTGAGATCAATGCAGGGGACACCAATCACTGACATGCATCTCACATATTTCAAATATTGTGAGGGTTTGAGACTTGTTATAATTATGAAAATGGTTTTGTCGCCTTTACATACATACATATGAGTCATAAAGTGTCAGGCCCGGGTATGTCCGGATTAGAACTGATCTTCAACAACCCATACTGGTCGTCAGAAGCGACTAACGGGATCAGGTGGTCAGGCTAACTGACGGGTTGACACATGTCATCATATCTCAATTTCCTTGAACGACGCTCATGAGGTCAATCACTGGATTGTCTAGTCCAGACACAATTATTTACAGACCGCCGTGATACAGCTGGACTATTGCTGAGTGGGCGTTAAACAAACAAACAAACAAACAAATGATATAGTATCAACGCATAGCTAACACACATGGTTGTAACAATCAGCTACAATAAACTACAGTTATAACGAACCCAAAGTGACAACTAATTTAATTTCGCAATATCCGTGGGTATTTAGACTGAAACATACAGCAAGTACTTGGGACAAAAGAAACCGTTGGCTATATCCGTCAGTTCGTTACTAAGGTAGTTTAATGTACATATAATCACCAAAGTAACATAAAGACAATTTAAATACACACGCAACCTCTTATCCATTATCAGTACAAAACCCGAGTCCATTGTTCGATACCGATTGTATGCTGACCATGTGACCATGATTCACTATCAAATACATCAAGAGTACGCATAAAGGTGAGCGTATCATCTCCAACCTGTGATTGTGTCACCTGGAGAGGCCTTTCTTGTAGAACCGCCCGATCAATGTATTATTTGAGAAGTATCCTGGAAGTCGTATGACCAAGATTACAAGATTTGGGGCGGATGGCTAGCCAAGCGGTTAAAGCGTTCTCTCGTCACGCCAAAAAAAACAGGTTCAATTCCACACATGGGTCTAATGCATGAAGCCTATTTTAAGTGTCCAGTTAGTAAATATTCTAAAAGAGGCGTAAAACAAACTCACTCCTCCGAACCGCAGTAGGGACAAGATAATTGTGGCCAGATATTGCTGGAATATTCTTCACTCACTTGGACAGTTTCAGTAAACAATGCCGATAAACGGGGTTCGCAATAACGACTGTGTATTGTTTATTCAATAAAAAATATAAACATGAAAACATATATTTTATGTCACATAACAAGAACATCATAATTGGGAGTAAATAGTTCACTTGGTAGATCTGAGTACACAGTATTGACAATCAGTCCAACCCGCACCATATACCTTTATGTACTAGTAGACTAGTGCGCTATGGTGCACATCTAAATTTAAATATGCTATGAACCTGTATTCACAAATATATATCAGGTAAAAGGCAATATAATTGCTGACACGAAATCGAGCTATTGATACATTGAGTTTGTTGTGATTCTATGTAAGTTTATATTATTTTCTTTATATAAGTTTTCTTTGAACCAGTGAGCATGGTTTTTCAAGAATTGATAATTGTTGAAACTGTAACGCACAAGAAATATTTCTTATAAATTAAGTATGGCTATCGCAGTTAAAATTTGAATTCCAGTGGCCCTTACGTTTACAGGTACGTTGATGATGCAAAATGAGTTTTTAGGAAGGTATATTTAATCGCAAGCAATTGAAAATAACGGTTTGATTGAGAATATATATGCTCTGTTTACTAAGATACGCTCGTTATGTACAACTGTGTTAATCACTGCTTGAGATAAACCAAGAAGCGCTAAAGATCAGACATTATAGTTTTCATTAGTCAGAAATGATAATATTTAAAATGAAGCATTTGTATCCAATCCAGTGTATACAGAGAAGCACTAACGTTAATTTGATAAAACAACACTATTATGATAAAACAACACTAATTTCATAAAACAATGAGAGTCTGATAAAACAAGGCTTTTTATAAAACAATGTGATATCAGAAAACTAATGTAACGCTACAAAGCCCATTTCAGAAAGCGCGCTGATACAGATAAATAATATAACGATATTGAACTAACTCAATGCTGAGCTAGTATTGCTTACATCAATCGCTATTATAAACACATACACCACATATATTTCAGAATACAATGATACAATGAAACTTTAATGATCTGGACGGAATTATTCCCAGGAAACATGATAGAATTTCAAGTGTTTTGATTTACAAATCATTGTGAAAAGTCTTCGTGTAAAACATGAATTTGTTGGTACACCAGAGATCGTCCAGAAACATGGGTCACTGAAAGAAAGCGATTTACCTCACGTCTTTGACCGTAGCTATAGTAATTCCGGGATTTCTTCAGGAGACGCAATCTGTGCAAGAATGCTATCATGTGTTTGACCATTTTGAAAGTGGCATTCGAATGCATCCTAGGGCAGCTATAGACTAATCTATCTTTGTATGGAACTTTCTAGAAGGTGCTTAGACTACATAGGTGGGCAAGCGCATATTTCCATCATTTCACATTTCACCAAACCACCCTGAAGATTATGTTTTCACCTTGATGGCAGGTCATGTCCAGCAAAAGTCTGTTTTGGAAATTTGACCACTGTCGCTAGTATCAGTGACTTCTATTGTATTTCAAACGCCCACTAAATTTTGAAGTACTCTTGCTACTGTCATTGTGTTTCTTAGTTTAACTATGAAATTCATTCCTGCATATATTTCTGGGTTAACCTATTGTTTAAATCTGGAAGTAGACATTTATCAATATATAGAAACCAAAATCAAATAATTAAACAAGCTCTATCAGACCTAGATGGAGAAATAGATACACCTTCATAACATCTGATTTATACTGAGCTATTGACGAAAGATTTTGTTTCAGGACTGAACTCGTCATCAGATTTGTGATGCTCCTTCTTAAATTTGGCCCATAGGTGTTTTAGGAGATCAAAGGTCATAATATCGCTGGTGTTGTTGCCGACAACTCGTAACAGAAAGATGCCGTCATCTCGGAGATAATGTCGCACGAATTTCTTGAAGAGCTTCAGGTCAACCGAATCTCCGCCATCTTTAAACATGAACAGGTACTTGTTGAGAAACTTCTCCCGCCTTGATGTGAACACCTCCTCAACTGTCCAGGAAATCAGGCTCCCTAGGGTCAGCAGAGACAGGATGAGAAGAACAAACCACTGTGCAGCATAGATCTTCTCCAGGAAGAGGTTGATGGACAGGACACACTGAACCGTGAATGTTTGAACATTCTGAAGTTGCCGTATCTGGAAGTCGCACATTCCAATGCGGGGAAAGTTCTGTAGATCTACCCAATAGGAGTCGCCGGCTAGAAGTTCAAGAACATTACCTCCGTACGCCCAGTAGTTGAACCCAAGGAAAGAGGTAAGGATTTGAAACTGAGAAACAACGTTGACCAAATACAGCAGCTTCACGAAAAGATACAGTCTGGTGAGGTAACAGCCTGAACGTTTGCCAAAGCAGAAGAAAACGTTAGCTAACCTGTTCTTCAGATTCCCGAACGGGTTTTGTTCAAATCGGCGGTACGTCTTCAGCCATCTGTCGATGAAGATGGAGATATGCTTCATCTTGGTGTCGCGGTCAGCTTCCGGCTGCATCTGTGTGTCCAGCGTCATGCCAACGATCTTTTCCATGTTAATGCCCGAGAAGCCTTTCATTGTTTTCCATATCATGTGCGGGATCTCAAACATAAATGCCTGGACCATGAACATGACGATGACCCAACGGTAGAAGCTGACGTCTCGGTCTTCGGACATCCGATCATCAATCGCAACCGGAAGTGACTCTGAGAAAGGCACGTTGTACATGTCGGATATCCAACAGTAAGCGTTCACGTAATCTTGAAAATGATCCTTGTCGTATTCTTTCGGTACCTGAAAGTATTATTACATATTTTGTATATAACACTGGTGGCACAATATGAAAGTACAAAAGCAACAAAAGCACACGGCGGTTACTGAAATCGTTTACCCCTTGGTGTAGGGGGATAAAAAGTACCGTTATCAGTGGTCCACAAACTGCTTATATGTTTCATTGGTGACCAATAGCCAAGGCAGCTGTCGGTCGCATGACGTGCAAGTTCCACATTTGTACCCTACGAGAGACTTAGGGATTCCGAAATTTGTAGCAATATGGGTTGGGATATTGATGCAATTCATTGAGCACAATATATGAAAGGAATATTTCTTCACGTTTTGATGAATATAAAACCTGTTTACTGACATTTAAACCCCGATATAGATTGATCTTATAATATTCATAATATATTACTTCCCATAAATATTACACAAAACAATTACCTTAAGAGATGATTCAATCAAAGTATACCATGTTATTCAAGACTTGATTTTTTTAAAATATATCTGGACAGACAAGTACAGCATTATCAAAGGTATGATATATTATTGACCTACCCAACAATTGATAGGCGCACCCACAAAGGACTTGGCACCGACCAACACAGCGAGCGCCAACAACGTTCCCACAGCAACGTAATGGTGTAACTGGTCAATGAGGTCATCGTCACGCGTTGCCCGTGCAGCAGATAGTTTTGCAAGCTGGTCAAGCGCTTGTTTCAACCTGAAAATATTAGTCCACTTTCCTCATTTAACTGTCACAATGGACAGGAAACAAAACACGACATTTAAGGATTAAACATAATCTTGTAGTGAGTGAGTGAGTGAGTTAAGGTTTACGCCGCATTTACGATATTCCAGAAATATCACGGCGAGGGGCACCAGAAATGGGTTTCACACATTGTACCCATGTGGGGAATCGAACCCGGGTCTTCAGCGTGACAAGCGAACGCTTCAACCACGAGACTACCCGTCCGCCCCAAATCGTGTAATGTTGGTCATACGACAATGCGTATTTGTACAAGATAACATAATAATAGTCATCTTTTCAAACATAAAAGATAATGGTTTTCGCCAAATGGATGGGCACAAATGACCATATTTTTTTAAGAATGTGATTGTTGGTTCGAATCCAGATCGCCTGATTATGTTTCTAGGTTATTAGCAGCAACACTAACGTGTTCGTAGGTTTCGCCAAGGTGGTAAGCATCTGCAACCTTCATCACTTCGTATTTTCTCAAAAATTAACCTGACACGCCGTGATACTACTGCTGATAGAACCGGGAATCCAACTCACTCACAAACTTTATATTTCAAAAAGATATTAACCCTTTGCAAGACATGGCAGATTTTTAATCTGAATGTGTCTGTAGGCCATATCAGTGCTGTCACGTATTATCGCCTTGTACAGGAAATACTCGAGTGGTCTGTATTGTGATAGGGAGACGAACCAAATGCATTTAGTATGAAGCAAAGTTAACAAATAAAATATCTAAACTATTTAATGAAATAAATGATAGCACCAAAGAGTAAAGGTATTTAGGATTCGGATACTATAATTTCTATCAGCTTGACCGTTAGCTTGTTTGTTGTTAAACGCCGCAATATCCCAGTTATATGGCGGCGGACTGTTTATAATCGAATCTTGACTGGACATTTCTGTCATTGATATCATCAGTATCATTGAGATACAGTGACCTAGATCTCAGCGAGAATGACCACCCGATTCCGTTAGTCGCTTCTTAAACAAAGCATGGGTTGCTGAAGATCAATTCTAACCCGGATCTTCACAGATTTCGTACGATCGGGTTTGTTCAGCATATCCTACCTAGATATATGTGTCTATCGATCATGATGCTTCACTAGTAAGGTAATATTTAAAATATTAAAAGAACGGATAACAGGTTAAAGCACCCTCCTCCCCCTCCCCCCATCTCTCCTTCAATGAACATTTTCATGCTAAACGTCTTGCATGTGGTTAAAGTTTAACAAAATGATACGTCATTAACAAGCTATTTCCATAGCGAATGTTCAAATATTGATCTTGTTATGATTTTACAACACATACATATAAAAGAAGTAAACAATGCATACCCGGCATGCATTGATCCACAGGCAAACTGTAGCGCAAATAGGGTTTGCGCAACAGAGAGAAACATGCGCTACAGTTTGCCTGTGATTGAACATAATAATTTGAAGGTATCTACTTACATTGGGATGAGTATCCTCCTTCCTCAATACTTACTGTCTCTGAAAGGTAGGTGCACTGAAATCGAAAATTTCCAGTTTAGGTTGGTTTCTTTGATATTTGAAACACGTTAAATGTCACCTCCGAGTATTAAATTAAAACTTTTGTTAACCAGTTTTATGACATGGAAAATACACAAATACGTGCAGATTTCATATATGGTACAAGTGAGCTGTCGAAAAACGTTATATGTAGAACAGAAAGTTAAAATCTATAAATTTTGACTATTTGAATGAAATTTGATGACGTTGCGCAGAATATATTCGTAATACATAGAATTAATATTTGCTGTCGTGTTTCGACATCTGTATATCGTATAATCGTATTGCACGTGCATTTTATGCGATCGTTGTAACTAGTGCATACCTTGAATTTTTACACCTGCTTAGATTAAAATTGCAGAAAGTAGTAAATTTGAAAAAAACAGAATGACTTATTTTGTCCAGTTGGATTTAAATAATTTCAAACAAACTTTACTATTTTTGCTAACTAAAATATTGCATCTCTGAAAAAGAATAATTGTCCAAGTTCCGCATGTATTTTTTTTCTTTTCACACACAACAATAATTATATAGTCGCTGTTTTAACATATGTCAGTGTTCTAGATCGGTGAAAAATACTAGACTAGTTAAATGCTCGTATCTAGAAAGCATACCATACCTTTGTCTGCCCTCTCGATCCCTCCTGTCAACTGTTGATGTCGAGCTGTCTCAGGCCACTAACACAAGGAAGATAACGTGGGGACAGGTTCTAGGACTGGGAGGGGGTAGTTGGGGGGACAGTGGGGATCTGGTGGTTATCTCACGTCTTCTAGGAAGGAGTGAGGTGACTTGGAATGCATTTCGCAAGCATAGTGATATTTTCAAAGAAAAATATTACAGTATCATGATTGATATTTGATATCTTGAAGTATTGATAAAAGAATTAGGTGCTCTGTCTTGAGGTGGCTGCCATTGTCATAACAGTCCTCCATCTTTGGAACGTGACCTGCTGTATATATTTGAAAAGTTCTATTCTTAGCATATTCGCAATACCTGGTGTCACGGCTGATTTTTGCAGTGACCCCCATGTTGCCTGGTAGATCCTGTAGAATGTCTTTCGTCCAATACACAATATATTTTCTGACGATGACGTTTGTATATATGTTACAGGCCCCCAAGCACTTTGTATTTTAAGAGTTTAGATAATGTTTTATGATCCTTTTGCAAATGTGTTTTCCATCATTACATAGTCAATCACAAGATGATAATTATTAACAATAAAGATCATACAAATAAATATCGACGCGTATAGTTTTGCTGAACACTTACCTCGAGAACACACATGTTTTCTATTGTATTTGGGGGACTCACGCCTCCGTATATTAATATTCACATTCAAACTGGGGTCGTTTACTATCCTACATGCTTTTTTTAAAAACAACAACTTATTATTCTTCCATTTTTCGAGAGAAACTGAGAGCCAATTCAAATTTGGTGTTCACAGGTTTCCATCGGTGGAAGTCGGTTTGTTTGGGCGTTCTCAACGCTGTGTCAACATCAAAATACCATAAATGACGCAATAGATATATTTTAATGTTTCCCTTAGGGTAGTCTGTCTTAACACTGCATATTAGTTTGTGAACAGCGATGACACTAAGACAGAAAAAATATACTTGCAATAAACTGAGAAATATCCATCATGGTTAAAGTCCTAAAAATAGAAAAATAAATAGTTAAAGGCTCAATGTTGTTTTATTCAGTCCTGAAACAAATGAACACACGTGATTTAAGCAAGCGACAAAACTCTTTCCATATTCGTAGGAAATATTAGCAAATATCGGTCAATTTGTGGTCCAATAATATGTTGAGTATATGACATACAAAGTGTGCAATAACAGTTATGATACATTGTATCATCTTGAGGATCACATGTTTTGGGAATTATTATCATTGTATTATGAAAGGGCGTGCTATTGAACTGTCTCCAGTTACTTTGTTTACAAACTAATATATACTTTTTACAAATTTTCAAAATTGTGTTCGTGTTAATGTTCTCTTCAACGAAACAAAATCGCCGAATATCATTTTCTACAAACGTTAATGTAAATTTATATACTTACATGTAATCGTCAAATCTTTTCATAATTGTTTTTTTATCGCTTATTATATGTTGAACATGTTCAATCTACAGAGGATTCTCTCGATTATATAATGTCCAGATTACTAAATCACAATAACCTTGAGACAATCAGTTCATCCTTCAGTTCATCAAACGGAAGTAGCAGCAATGGTGTTCCTGTCGTCTCAGGAGTTGCAATTGCTGTGCAGAACGGGGTCCCGTAGTGGCAAATGTCTGAGACATATATGTTCTCTATCAGGATTTCCTTCCATTCAAAGCTGACAACTGAAATACTGTTCAAAGCTTCGTTGAAACAAACTCACTCTCTCACTACAAACCCAACCTAAGGAGACGTTAGGTGTTAGCAAAACAGCTAATCTACAAAATGTTTAAAAATAATCATTAACTTTTTTACCAGCACCACACGAGTTAGGCGAAAACGTTAGTATTTGAAGGTCGTCAAAACAATTTGTCGGCGCTGGAAATTGACTCAGGCATTGCAACTCAGTACAACCAGGAACTATTCAGGTCCGTTGGTAAGAGGTTTGGTATCTGACAAAAGGTCTTCATCGTCATCTGATTTGTGCAGCTCCTTCTTATACTTTGCCCAAAGAAGCTTCAGGATATCAAAGGCAAGAAGCTCCCCAGCGTTGTTCGTCACTATCCTCATCAAGAAGACGCCATCATCTCTCAGATACCGCCTCACAAAGTGCTGGAACAACCGGACGTCCACTTCAAAATCCATCTCTCGGAGCATCTCGAGGTACTTGTTCAGAAATCCCTCCCTCCTTGAGGTAAAGACTTCCGCCACTGTCCACTTGATGAGGCTGATGAGGGTCGCCAATGCGAGGATCACAAAGATGAACCACAGAGCAGCGTAAGCCTTCTCCAGGTACATGTTTATGGGGAGGGCGCACTGCACTGTGTGGCGTTGGATGTTTTGGAGCTGGCGGATTTCAAAGTCACACATACTAACCCGTGGGAAGTGATCCAAGTCCTTCATTGGTGCGTCAGCCTGTAACATCCTCACAACGTCGGCACCGTAACCCCAGAAGTTGAAACCAAGGAAGGCCGATAGGATCTGGAACTGTACTAATACATTGATGAGGTAGAGGACCTTGACAAATAGGTAGAGCCTTGTCAGGAACCGTCCCGAACGCTTCCCCAAACAGAAGGCAACGCTGAAGAGCATAGACTGAAATCTTGCTAGAGGACTGGAATCAAAGTGCCTGTATGACTTCAACCATCTGTGGATATATTCTGCTGTGTATCTCGTGTTCATCTCCCTATCCTCTTCTCCCTCCAGCTGGGACTTGATGGCCAGTTCCACGACCTTTTTTATGTTGATGCCAGAAAAAGTGTTGAAGGATCTCCAAATGAAATTGGGAAATTTGAACATGAGCGCTTGCAGAAGGAACACCAGAAATACCCAGCGATAAAATCGGAGACTCCTGTCCTCTGACATTCTCTCGTCAACGTCCTCGGGGAGATATTCACTGAACGGCACGTTGTACATGTTGCTGATCCAACAGTACTGCTGGATGTAGAGTTTGAAATTGTCGTCGTTGTACTCTTTTGGAACCTTCAAAACAAAGAAGAGTCCATGCTACAATAGCTGTACATAAACTGATGAACATGTTAAATCAGCTACAAACGAATGTTTCTAGGACTTCAGTCCTGCCCCATAACGAAGCATGCATGTGGTCAGGCAAGTGTGTTTGTTTAAATTGGCTCTTATCACCCAGCAGTGAATGGGTACCCAGTGGGATAGATGTTATATGACTGTTATCCTTCTAGCCCCTCAGAGGCAGCTTGGGTTATCCGGGGTAATATAATAAAGCCTGTGCTTTGCGTATAATTAGCGCCACTGAGCATTACTAAGATGGGTATTAGGCGCTCTACAAATGTATTATTTATAAGTTTACCAGTACTCTGTTTAATGTACTACAGGTTATGTCACGCGTGAGAACAGAGTTGTGAAATGACCATATGCTGGACATCAACAGAAGGTGTGTTGCCTGTCAAGTATTTGGTATTGAAGCAATCAATATGAAACACAACTGGCTGTACTAAAACTGGTTATATATAGTACCGCTAATAGCCCTAAGGTTTGCAAATGACGCTTAACCGCACTGTTCCATGGACTATGCCAAGGGCCGTGCCATCCCAAGTGAAATCGTTGCGACCAACACATTACCATAGCATAAATGAAGGGGGAGGAAGAGTAACGGCTTGATCTAGCAGTAACATTGCTCGTAATATTTGTACAAAATGCGTCTGGAGTTACGTGATTAAGACAATTGACAGGTGAATATTTCATAAGCTGTGAAATAAACGTACCCAACAGTCGATGGAGCCCCATTTTGTTTTAGCGCTAAAGAAGCCTGTCATAATGACCAGAACGATGACCATCATCCTGTGGTGTATCTGATCCACGGCATCGTCGTCACGGATGAGACTGAATATTTTTAATGCCACAAACTTCTCCACAACCTTCTTGTACATCCTGCAACGATTAAGACGGTGACGATTAAAAGCTGATCCTTGAGATCCAAGTTCAAATATATTGCTTATTCACATAGTGTATATAAGGTAGATCATATATTGTATATAAGATAGGCTATATCCACAATAATAGGGAATATGTGTTGTCAGGGAATATTATTAGGGGATGTGTATTATCAGTGAATATGTATTATTAGACAATGAGTGTTAATATGTGTTAACAAGAATTCTGTATTATCAGGTAAATGTATTATTAGGGAATGTGTATTATCAGTGAATATGTATGATTAGACAATGAGTGTTAACAGGAAATTTGTGTTAACAAGAATTCTGACCGTATTATAAAGTAATATGTATTATTAGGGAATGTGCATTATCAGGTAATATGTATTATCAGGGAATATATATTGCAGGGATTTTTAATCATCAGGGAATATGTGTAATTAAGCAATGTATATTATCAGTGAATATGTATTATTAGACAATGAGTGTTAATATGTGTTAACAAGAATTCTGTATTATCAGGTAAAATGTATTATTGGGGAATGTGTATTTACAGGGAATATGTATTATCAGGGAATATATATTGCAGGGATTTTGCATCATCAGGGAATATGTGTAATTATGCAGTGTGTATTATCAGTGAATGTGTATTTTTAGACAATGAGTATTGTGACGGAATATGTGTTAACAAGAATTCTGTATTATAAGGTAAAATATATTATTTGGGAATGTATATTATCAGGAATATGCATTATTATGGGATGTGTATTATCAGGGGCGCGTTCGGTTTTAAATGACATTTAGCAGCGTTCAACCAACTATAATCACTTCCAAAATGTAAACACAATAGGATTATCTTCATTCTACCATGACATATCCACCATGAATAAAACGCGTTTTAAATATGCACTTATTACCCTTGCGTAGTGTTGTTTACCTTTGTAAGGGTTAATGAGTGCAAAATATTCCTACGCGCAGTGAACCGGCTCTCAGAAGTGGTTATTGAACAATTTTCACTAAAGTCTTCTAATTTTTTAGTAACAGCCTATCAAAAACGAACATACTTAAATGTTATGGTAGAATGTATATTATTAGAGAATGTGTATTATCAGGGAATATATATTATTAGAGAATGTGTATTATCAGGGAATGTGCTTGATTAAGCAATGTGTATTATCAGGGAATATCCATTATCAGTTTTTACTGAAGTAAAATATGTTATCCCTGATCATTTAGAGATGATAATAAATGCCTGATTCACAAAGGAAATGGACATAAATCGTCTC